ACGTGGGTGCATTAATGTAATGCAGTCAGTGACAGTGGGTAATGGGTAAATATAACGTTAAATAAAAAGTAACTGTTGCAAGCACCCTTTGTTATGTTGTAGCATGCGAGTGGCATTTTGTTTGAATGGTTTTATATATATAGTTGCTTTATTTATACCTTCCTGTTACTTTGTGTGGGTCATTATTACTTTGATAAGATGGGTAGATAAGTAAGGACAGTGAAGTGAGGAATGGAGGAGGGCAGGACAACAGCACAGATGAGTGCTGCTACCCTGTTTGTGCTTTTGCCACCTGAGCTCAGCTGTATGTTGTTCCAGGCTACGAAATCACTCAAAGGAGTTCATCCTTCATCAAGCCTTTGTTTTTACTGTGTAATCCGCCTATATGTATAGATTAGAATGAAAATTAGATATGGCTTATTTGACTGCAGCTGAGTGTCGTTTCTTTGTGCATTTCACAGCAATGCTTCTTTCAGAGATCCGCTTGCCTCGGTCACTAAACTACAAACTAAAATAGAAACTGCATGCAATAATGCTCACGTTGCGGTTCTCAACCTAACTTGCTTACAGGTCCAGTTGCATTTCCTCAGGGTCAGGTCCTGACATTAAGGGAGGCGAGAAGGGGAAGAAGGTTCGGGCTGGATAACCAAATAAAAAATAGTTCAGGCAGCATTTACTCTCTGGTTTCATAGTCGGGATGATCTTTTGCTAACGTAATTACCACGAGGGGTTCAAGTGGCCTCTTTTCACCCGCCACAGCACAGCAGAACACCACATAGCAGTGAATCACAGTCACATGCATGACATGGCTCTTACAATGAAGATACTATTCCAGGCAAACAGCAGCAGCTGAAAGTAGGATAGAGGCCCTCATGTACAGTGAACATGCTGTATTGGTTGTTGATGAGAAATCATTTTAGGAAAAATCTACTATGTCACTGCCTTGTGTATTTATTTATGATGCTGATTTATCTTCACTCCTAAAATAGTATAAATCATTTATTCCCTCAGGTACACTCTGAAGATGCCACATAGGGTTTTTAAATGTTAGTTTCAGTCTTGCTTCCAACCTGTGATATATGTCATCTGTCTGTCTTCCCATCTTTCCTGTCGACTGATGTCACCATGATTTATCTCGTTCTGTCTTCATGTGGAGCTCAGTGCGAAAGGATTATTGCAATCTTTCAAAGCTTTGTTTCTCAGATCATCCACTAAATCACTTCTGTCCACGTCCAGATTAATGACCAGCCACTGCATCTGTAATCCTTGAGTGTGGGACTGTCTGTACACACACCAAGTGAATGTGTAGGGTTCTGCGAAGTGTGTGTCAGTAGACTCACTGACAGTCTTCACTGCTGATAGCTTAATGTCATACCAAAGTACAATAAGAGTCTGAAGATGTCATATGTTCAAAGGTTGTGGTAGGTCTTCACTTTCAGACGCAAGATTAGTTTAACATTAAAGCAATAACTCTTAACAACCAGTTGACACTAAGGAGTAGTTTCACATTCACACCATAAGCATTCAAATTGATTAGTGAGTTTTTTTATATTTGAATCTTGTGGGAAGCCAACTGTAAGAGACGACAGTACATTTATTTTATAGTTAAGACTTCCCCAAACTCCTATAATCAGTTAATATGCACATGTTGGGAATGTTTAGGCTTTAAAACAGGCAAAAGCCCACAGAAATGAAGTGTTTGTCCATGCTAATATGAATCCTCCCAAGCAGGAAGACGAAGAAGGAAATGGATAATCATGTCTCTGGAAAACAGTAGGTTGTTTTGTCAACTATGTTTCTCTTCCCCTCCTCAGCAGCTCTCTACCAGTGGACCTTCCAGACCAGTGACTGTCCACCATGTTATCCAGGTTGAGAACATCCTGGTCCCTGAGGCCCTGTGTCTCTGTTTGCAGATGGGCACACACCAAAGACAAGGGCAAACCCCTCATGCTCAACCCTCGCACCAACAAAGTGAGTGGATTACTTTCCATTGTGCGCACGTGTCAGCGTTTGAACAGGCGTAATCGTTAAAGAGATGGCAGCTTTATTAACATGTCTCTCAGCGTGTCAGCCCATTTGTGCTAGATTCATGCCAAACATGTCGTGTTGGCTAATTGGCATATGCATTACAATTATTTTCCACCCTGACACAGAAAAAGCATATCATAATCATTTCATAATATTCTTTAGTTACAATGGATAAACTAAATGTATTGCAAATTATAACTGGAGAAAACCTTTTGACCAAGTTTTCGGCTGTTGACTGTTGAAGGGTTGATTATCCTTATATTTTTCCATTCTTTCAACCCTCTTACACTCACACATCTTCTAGCTGTCAATATTTCTGTTATCCCTGGATAAGAATAGCAGAGAGCTGTGTTGTAGTGTGACAGACAGGAAATGAATTGAAGGTTCTGACATGTCTGACAGCCTTTTTATAACGATATATTTCTATATCTTAATGAACACAAATATATTACAATTTCTGCAGGCTGGAAGAAATTTTAAATGATCCCCGAAAGTAGAAAATGTCAGCATTCACACGTAAAGAGCACCAAATATGCAGTCACTTGCACAGAGCAGTGTAGTACAACATTATAAAGTGCAGTCAAGAGCTGCATCTGTTAATCTTCTCCCTAAGCCAGTGATTGGTACTGCTGAAAAACTAGAATAACTGAGTCAAAGGTTTTTTAGCAGCTGGGTTGGAGCTGCTGTTCATTTTCCTCTGCTGTCTGACTTGGTCTCATTTCTTACACATGATCTAACTTGAGACCTTCAGGGGATGGTTTTCAGGCATTTGGGAAGCTTAACTAATTGATCATGGGATTTTAATCTACCCAGTGCTGCTGTACTTCCACAGAAGCTACCAATACCAACATATATTCCTTTTTCTAATTTGCTTTCTAGCTAATCATATAATTATTGTTATAAACCTGAACATGATTTTGTTTTCTGAACCCTTTGCCTTGAACTAGAATTACTGACAAATGCTGATATAATCTGCTCAGATAATATTAATTATTAATAATACATTACTAAACAAATTTGTTATCAAATAATAGCTTGACAGACGGCTGAGAAGACCTGGCTAACCACACCCAGCATCACAGTGGGTGCAGTCCCACTGTGTGAAATGTTTGTTAAATCATCATCATCATTTACTCCTTTTTCTTTTCTTTTATATTTTATTCAGCTCTTTATATTCCTTTAATGATTCGTCATGCCTTATGTAAAGCACTTGGACTTGTTTTGGTGCTATACAAATAAACTTGTCTTGCTGTGCACCTGTAACCACACCCAACAGTGGCGTTACTGCATTACTGTGGCGAGGTGGGGACTTCATATGACAAACAATGCATACTTTATTCAGCTGGTGTAAGTTGCTCTGTAATATGTATCTAATATCCATTACAGATATCACATTGTTTGGTTTCTTTCTTGTCAGTTTTTTCCAGCTACTAAGAAGTTACACATGGCATTTGTAACCTGAGGCTGTAGCTGCTTGAACTCCCCCGATCTCATTCTGTGCATGTTATGCTAAACTTAGCTTAAACTGCACATGTTGTGCTAAATATAAACATTCCAACCAACATGTAAACTGGTCACAGGCTAGTTGGGTAATGGTCCTAGAAATACTGTACAAACAGAAACTACACTTACATTGCACTTCCGGCCTAAATCCTCACTATGTTCATTTCTTTTTTTCTTTGAGTCTAGTTTAGAAACTCTGTTTATCAAAACTAACTCAAGTGTGAAAAAGCTGTGAGTAGAAATTTTAAGCATCTCTTCTAGCGTTAAAGTTGTTGTGCCTTGCATCTAAAAACAATTAAAACTGCATGAAGCCAGACACAAACATCAACATTCTGGTTACTCATAGGAAGACCATATCTGCCAGAGCAGATGTGACTCGCATCAGCAGACTACATTGTCATCCCCCAACAGTAAAGGTCATAGTGTTGCACAGCTGCATTGTTTATTACATTACATTGTCAACAAGATATTTTTTTTGTAGGGCATTGAATCATACATCCCTCTACCTTTTTAGACTTAAAATAAATTCAATTAAACTAAAATGATTTTATGTAAAATTGAGCAGGATGGATGATCCATTTTGGCCAATTTCACTAACACGTTGATTTTGTTTTGAAACCGTGAATTTTACATAGTTTGGGGTTTTTTTTAAAAGAAAGTATGAGGTGTTTCACCTCACTTTCAACATATATAAGCACAAACTCAAATCATATGATATACATTATTTAGAGAAATACATGCACAAACAGTATAAATATACATTATTTACATTATATAGCTCAGGCTTCTTTTTTGGGACGAGTTAGAATCACTCAAAGCACTGAAAATAAATGCAAAACAACCATTTGAACAATGAAACCTGTGACATGTGGAAACTTTCAATTCCATGTAAAAGAGAAAACCAAAAACTACATTTGCACAGGTTTGCACTTTGCAGCATGTTGCATTATCGCGCACTAGAGTGGAGTGAAGCAAAATGCTCCATCAGCATGACTCAGCATTTTGCCAGGGGAGCCCCCAGCATTCATCACTCTCAACAAAATAATCAGCCCCTTCCCCAGCCCCAGAGGTTATGGCTTCCATGTGTTTCACCCATATGTCATTCACAGACAGACGTGTAAACCTACATACACATATACTGCAGGAACATGTACACTTCGTATCCGTCCTCCCCCATCCTCTCTTTCATACATGGGGTGTTCCTGCCCAGAGTCCTCTTCATTGGCTTCTTTGAGGCTACTCCCCTCTCTTACGTCTTTTCCTTTCTTTCCCCAACTGCAAAATTGCTTTCATCTGGTCTCCCCCTTTTTCACTCAGCTGCCTTTCTTTTAAAGGTTAGAGTCTATAGGTTAACCTACCAGTCTTAGGACCAATAGGTAATGCAATGTGCCCTCTGGTGACAAAATTGTATCATGGTATGTGAACATATTTTGCAACAGGTTCTCAAAATTGGTTCAGTTTTTATTTTTTATTTTATTGAGGGATATTTATTCATTATTTAATTAATTATTGTTAATTCTTTTTAAACAATACTTTATTAAGTGTTTCACATATAGAAAACATACAAATAACAATGACCACAGCAATAGCAAATAGTGTACAAGTGTACTATACAACAAAACAATCAAAAGATAAAAAAATAAAATAAAAACAGTTAAAAACAAATAAAACAATAAGTAAATAAAAAGAAATAAATAACTGAAGAAGCATCAGTAGTTACAGAGGGCAATTATTGTTATTTTAAGTATGAAAGTTAAAAGAAGCACGTTTGTACCAGAGAGATCATATTTAAACGTATTAAGTGAGGTATATAAAATACATATATAACCTTTACAGACAGTACATACAATATAAAAGGCAAAATATTGTATCAAACAACTTTCAATGGCCCCTCCTTTGCCATTGTCCCACAGAGAATGTATTTCACTAAGAAGTTTTGATTTCCTGTAAGATAAGACTTGTTCTTTAATTTGGTAAAATGTGTCGAATTAACAGGAGTTAATACAGGAGTCCTACTTAGAAATAACAGGATAGCACTTCTCAAAAATGAATTCTGCCAGTTGAACTCTTAAGTCACTTAAGTTAACTTGACTTAGCATTATTCTTTAACAATCAGCAGCTGACACAAGGCAGATACATACGGTACATTCTCTTTGTAACCATACTCACACCTCTTTTTTTCTCCCAAGGGCATGGCCTTCACTCTGCAGGAGAGACAAATGTTGGGAATACATGGTCTGTTGCCTCCCAAAGTGGAGACTCAGGACACTCAAGCAATGCGCTTTCAGAATAATCTGAAGAAGATGACTGATCCCCTAGGGAAGTAAGGACACATTTTGTGCAAAGCACTGGAAAGAACAGCCACAGCATGACCTCCTCTGTTTTGTTATTAATCCTAAATTCATTTTAAAGATACAGTTGAACTCTTTCTCTCTGTCTTCCATTTATTCTCCTTTTCCGCACAGGTACGTCTACTTGATGGGCATCCAGGAAAGGAATGAGAGGCTTTTCTATAGGGTGTTGATGGAAGACATTGAGGAATTGATGCCAATTGTCTACACTCCCACTGTAGGCCTGGCCTGCACACAGTATGGACACATCTTTAGGAGACCCAAGTAAGCATGCAGTAAAGCTGAGCCTTCAATGTAGGTTTACTTTGGTGGCAGACATACTGTACATGTTGCACTTTCAGGAAGACAAAGAAGAAGAATTTTAACTTAAAGCATGCAGTCTAGATTGCTACCTGCTATAGGCATTATGTGCACAAAATTCATAATGTTCAGGATGTTATTATAGTGGAGATATGTTTACCTATTTGGTAGAATCGTACTACAATTATTAAAGTAGTCAACTACCACCTTGTTTCTCTCACCAGAGGCTTGTTTATCTCCATTCGGGACAGAGGACACGTCCGTTCCATCCTGGACAACTGGCCAGAGACTAATGTTGCAGTGAGTAGACTCTTTGGGCCAAATTGGAAAACTGTGAATATGGAGTCAGTCACTTACAGACTTTAGGCCTTACAGATATGAATAAATAGAGATCAAGTTGTAAATATAGTAAGTCTAGGAAAGTTAATTGATCTATCACAGTCCACATTTTCTACATTCACCTGGCTAAGGTCAGGTTTAATATTGCTCACAGCTTATAAAATGTTAATCTGCAGTTTTGCTGACTGGTGTACTTCTTTTCCACTGCCTCTCTCTCTCTCTGTAGGCAGTAGTAGTAACTGATGGAGAGCGAATTTTAGGATTAGGAGACCTGGGTGTTTATGGAATGGGCATCCCTGTCGGAAAACTTTGCCTGTACACTGCCTGTGCTGGCATAAGACCCGAGCGATGTCTGCCTGTGGCGATAGATGTTGGCACAGACAATGAGGTAGGAAAGCTATGTGTATGTTTTCTGTAAACTGTATATGTGTACATGCTTATATATTTATATTTATTTATATCTGTCCTTGCCCTCCAATCAGACTCTCCTCAAGGATCCGCTGTACATGGGCCTGTACCAGAAGCGAGATCGCTCTCAAGCCTACGATGATCTGATTGATGAGTTCATGGAAGCGGTGGTGGAGAAGTACGGGCAGGACACACTGATCCAGTTTGAGGACTTTGGGAACCACAATGCTTTTCGCTTCCTCAGGAAGTACAGGGAGAAGTACTGCACCTTCAACGATGATATCCAAGGTTCACATATAATCCTTCACACAGCACTTTGGAGTTGCACTTTGTAGTAATGCCAGTTAATCTATTCAGTTAAAACCAACAGTTCAGTTGTATGTTGCTTAGAGAACCATTCTTGACGGTATGTTTCCACCAATCCCTGCAATTTGCATATCCCTTTAAATTATACATTTGTGGGAGACCTTTTTAAAAGGTTTTTTAAATGATTTTCAACCTTCTTTTCATTTCACCATAAAAATGCAAAACCTGAAATGTGCTTGAATTATGTAATCCATTACAGTGGACATATTGTGACCTTTAAGTCACATTAGTGCTGCAAGGTAATGCAGTTTGCTGTGGTGACTTTTTAAAATGTCAAGGAACTACAGCAGCTGTGGTTTGAGAACTGGGAGCGGAAAGATTCAAATCAAACTAAGACAAGCACAACATAACTTTCTAATTTCCATCAAGTGAATGGAGACCCATGCCATCTCCCTACCTTAAAACAAATGATGTGATTAATCTGTTTTCTTCTGTTGTCTTCTTTATGTTTGCAGGCACTGCGTCTGTAGCTCTTGCTGGTCTGTTAGCAGCTCAGAGAGCCATTGGCAAACCCATCACTGAACACCGGGTGCTTTTCCTGGGAGCTGGAGAGGTAAGATTATATTTATCCATTAATCAGTCAAACCAGAAAATATTCTCATTCGTTCCAAGTAATTTATTTTGTCATTATACAACACAAGGTTGCACAGTGAGAAGAAAGTTGTAGTCTCTCCATGCTACACACACAGAACATAACAGATAATTAAGTTAAGATCGTATAAAATATATAAAATATAAGTATATATATACTATTTCTACAGTATGCAGTGCATTTTTTGAATTTGCACCTGGCGGAATTTGAACAGCAGCAACAAGATAGTGATGCAGTATTGTTAGAGCCATGCTGCCCCCTACTGGCCAGAGCTGGTTTTTCCAATAAGAAATAACAAATTACTTAAGAACTTAAAACGTATTAAAGATGTGCTACGGATTGATCAGAATGTTTATGGGAAAATGTGGATTAGCTTAGTCATTCTCTTGTTGAAAGTAAGGGTTAAAGTTTCACTCTGGATACACTGTCTAAACACTGAATGTTTAACTTGATAAGGTTATTTTCTCATTAGGCTGCCCTTGGTATTGCCAATCTGATTGTTATGGCCATGATGGAGAGGGGCATGACCCAAGCTGATGCCAGAAAAAAGATCTGGATGTATGATAAACATGGCCTACTTGTAAAGGTTAGTGTGTGTGTGACACAGACATTAACGACCAGAACACACATTATATGTCTGTATGGCTTCCTGTCTGGCTCACTACTGTATTCTTATTGATTTATTGATACCAACAATGTACTATATGTGACTCCAGGACAGACCGCAGGAAACGGACTCTAACCAGGAGGCGTTTGTCCATGACAGTCCCGGGAGTGTACAGAGCTTCCTAGATGCTGTCAACACCATTAAACCCACAGCTATCATTGGTAAGAAACTCATTTTCCTCGCAGTACAGTTTGTAATATGCATTGTAAGCCATTAATCAAAAAACAGAAACTGAATAAAATAATAAATACGTCCTTAATTTGATCAAAGCTTATTATCCGATTATTATCCAAACTCTTAAATCACGCTGTCATGGCTCAGTGTGCTGTAATTGCGAGCTCCTCTTCAGCTTTAATGATTGATCGCAAGCACAGGGTGACCAGCATTTCTCTTTCCTTCTTCCAGGTGTGTCAGGAGCTGGACGTCTGTTCACCCACGACGTCTTAAGGTCCATGGGAACCCTGAACGAACGACCAATCATCTTTGCCCTGAGTAACCCAACCACTAAAGCAGAGTGCACAGCAGAGGATGCCTACACACTCACTGACGTACACAGCTCTTTCTGCTTCACGCTCCCTGTTATTGGCCTTTCTGTTTTCCCCCATCAGTCTTTCACCCTTTCTTTTTTTTCTTTGTCCCACAGGGTAGATGCCTTTTCGCCAGTGGCAGTCCGTTCGGCCCAGTGACCCTGAGTGATGGCCGCGTCTTCACTCCAGGACAGGGGAACAACGCTTACATCTTCCCAGGTGAAAGAAAAAAGAAAATGAATTTTCACAATTTATTTTTATGACCAGAAGAGAGTATGAATTACGGATTCCCTGGATGTCAAAACACGACTCAATAACTTTCAGTGTGAAGAAGAAACCAAAGCCTAGTGTTTGCACTACGCCAGACAAAAACATTGGACGATAAACAACACACAAAAAGAAAATGTTTTAAAACACATGCTGTATGTGTGTTGCAGGTGTGGCCTTGGCTGTGATCCTGAGTGGAGTGAGACACATCAGTGACACAGTATTCCTCGAGGCTGCCAAGGTCTGAAATCACGAGTGTTTTTTTCAGTCTGTCTCTGCCTTAAACCTTCTGAAGTCAATCTTTACCTCGCTCTCACCCCAGCTTGCACTTTCTTGCTGACTCTGTTTATGTATACATACGCTGTATAGGGGCGAATTAACCCTCTTTAACCCTTCTGATGTCTCCTGTTCCCTCTCTTTCTAGACTCTGGCTTAATAACTAACAGATGAGGAACTTTTAAAAGACTGTTCCTGCTTTGCACTTCTTCCATCTATGTTTTTTGTTTGTTTGTTGTTGTTTAATACTGAAATGTTGTGCATGAAGAAGACACATTGCTGCATGTTGATTATTAGTAACAGTGATTTGGTCATTTCTGTCACTTCACCTGACACTTCTTATTTTGTCTTATTCAGAAGCACGTTTATATTTAGATTTAGATGACTGAAGAACTGAGAAATATGCTTTAGACAAATAATAATAGTAGTTTTTTAGTCCCTGTTTTTTGGCCCCTAGTAATTCATCTTCAGCCTAAAGTATTTTTATACTCTTTTCAGACTCTTTCAGAGCAGCTGACGGATAAAGAGCTGGAAGAAGGCAGACTCTATCCTCCTCTCTCCAACATCAGAGAGGTCTCGGTCCAGATGGCTGTCAAGGCAAGTCTCTTGAAAATGACAATTTTTAACTAGCTGAATGTTTCGTCTATTGATAAACCTGTTAATGTTAGTCCAAACCTTAACTGTTCCTGCTTAAATTTAGCCTCTTCTATCGTCATCTGGTTTTGAAAATCTACGACCATATCCACCACAGCCAAACAAAAATAGTAACGCATAACATTAAGCTAGTTGGCTTTTAATAATTGTGTGTTTTAAATTGTGTCCTGTTTAATAATGTGTCTGACCTTTCTTTTTGTGTCTGCCTCTCAGTATGAGTCAATGCTAAACTTCCTCTTTCTTGCTATAGGTGGTGGAGTATGTCTATGCTAAAGGCATGGCGTTCCGCTACCCTGAGCCAGTGGACAAAAACGCCTTTGTACGTGCCACTGTGTGGGACACGAACTACGACTCCTTCCTGCCAGACACCTACGACTGGCCAGGCGTCAGCTTCACCCCCAAGACTGACTCGAAGTAGAACCGGCTCTCACTGTGCCCCATGTCACACTGTCACTCTTCCTTTGTTTTCCACTTAAGTCTTAATCACAGATCTTTTGAGATGACCTTTGTTCTCTTAGTGCAAACATCTGCTTATGAGAAAAGGCAGTAGAAGCCCCTTTCTGCTGCTTTTCACTTACTGCATTTGCACTAAAGCAGTCTTATTAGATCTGTGAAAAGGTAAAGTGGGAAATGGCTTCTTCACATCCGAGTTCTTTATCACCTCTACATCACATGTAAACCTGTACTGTCCCTGGAGGGCCACCTAGTGGTGGAAAAAGGCAGTGTGGAAATCTGGTTTCATTGTTGAAACCTTGAGATACATTTATATATTTGTCATAAAATACCCTTTTGTCAGGAAAGGTCATGCTATTTTCAAAGGCAGTCACTCCATATTTAATGTAATACTGATTCTAATTTGATGCAAAATAGTTTTGTTGTGTACACTCCTGATGCAGAAGGTAGTCTTTGATTAGCACCACCAATAAGTCCACTTACTACTATTGTGACTATATGTAGCTACCTGGAAATTGCCAAACTTAATGCACAAATTTTAACATGCAGTATAGACATTGCCTTTTTTCACAACAAGTGGACCTCCGGTGGCAGAGCAGGTCTAGTAGAGCGGAGGGTTACAGTATTCAGCCTTTGTGTTCAAATTAGGAGAGGAAGAGCAGAAACAATGCTACTCAGGGGAGAGTTGGAGTGAGATTTAGAGAAAGACTGTAGAAAATGGTTTAATGAAGGGAAATTACATGAAATTTATATCTAAAAACGTGTTAGCAACCAACCTCCACTCCAACATTTTATTTGTGTGAAGGGTTTTCGACACGTGTTTATTCCTCTGAAGTAATTTTATTTTTGGGGGTGTGTTTAGATGTTTTGTCATTGTGCTGTATATTCATTTGAAAGCCTGTCATTGACACTCCTTTAATGCGTTTTGGTAAGAACTCCAAGAATCCCTAAAATGAACTCTTGGTTAAGTGTGATATACAAACAATACCCTAAATATAAAGAAACAATGTGCAGTATCAAATGATTGGATAAACATTATTTTTTATTTGAATTATATTTTGTTTACTGTACATGTCCTTTTGTGGAAACTGAGACTGTTTGCTGAAAGAGTATTTATAAAGTTGTGTTAAGGACATCCATGTGTGTTTTGGCAGGTTGGTGTATGGGCTTTGCTCCATATTCAACAAAACAACAGACTTATACGCTATAATCATGTACGATGATCATTTATAATAACTTATAACACAGTCACATTATCTAATATTGACACAACAAAAAGGTAAGGCTTTGCTTATGCAACTATATTTATATAACATCTTTCAACAAGGCAATTCAAAGTGTTGTACATAAAAGATAAAAGGCGTTAACAAAAACACAAGCCAATATTAAAAGAAATAAGGATAATACAGATGAACCAGAAGAATAAAAAATACAGTGCAGTGCAAGATATGAATAAATAGTCAATTTGTTTTAATAAAAGGCAGCGGCAAACAGTACAACCATTAAGTGTTGATTTAATGCAGACCCTCAAGTTTTCTGGGACTTTCCGATTTGTGGTGCATGATGTCATTTACTCATAATTTACACTCCGGGCTATTTAAAATTCGTATTATTGGCATAAAAAGATAGTGACCAAGTAGCTTTTCAAGGAAACTTCTTGAAACTGACATTTTGACCTTTTTAATGTGGTTTTCATCATCACCACACATTCTGAAAAAAACTTTCTGCTCATGTCCATGTCCCAAAACCATCCTTACTGGCACTGTTAACGTACAGTACTTGATGTAAAACCAAGTAATGCTATCACCGTCAGCTATAACTATCTGAAATTTCACTCATTTTTGTATTGTATTGTATTATGTATGTATACAAACATTGGTAGTGAGTGCTTATTTTTGATGTGAAAGGTCTAACTTCTTATACATTAACCATCCAGTGTTCTCCTGTCAGCTATACAGTTAAATAGTCACAGTTATAGCAGATGGCAGCATCCTCAAGCCCATCATATAGTTCAATATATTTTATTAACTTTATTCCAGTTATGTTTTCCTAAAATTCTATATTTAAATTCTATAATCTATCTATATTTCAGATTAATGTATTGCAATTATTTCAGTGAGACATGTGACAGTGCACCTGCCAAGATCTTTCACTTTGCTCTGTACTCTTTCTGGCTGCAGTCTATTATAATAAGTGAGCTAAAGATCTAAAATGATGTGTTCAATGTAAAATGTGAGAATTAAGAAACCCTGACCATAAACACATACAACCGTACAGCTAACATGTGTTTAAGTCTGAAAAAGTAACACATTACATTAAAACTACCAATTAGTCTATTGTATTTGTACTATTGCCTTACACACAGCTTTTAAGGGCATTGGCAGTATCATGCATGAGTCTTTAATGTGTTTAAATATATATTCTAGGCTGCTGTGTAAATTTTAATCTCAGGATATTGTATTAGGACCTTTTAACCACCTGCATTGAAGTGCCTGCACGATGTTCAGTATGTGTTCATAATCACGTAATGTTCCTGATGTAGACCTCACAGCATGCTGCAGGCAGAGCTGAGAAACAACAGCACTATGAGCAATTGCGTAGTGGTCAATGTGCAGCTTTTTCTCTGATAGACTTCAGGTTGTGAACACATATTATTAAAGACAACGTTATCTACTTATCTATATTTTTAAATAGTTTTATTTAAAGAAAGGACTGAGAAACAGTTTAACTGCATTACCTGTCGTGTCACCTGTCTATCCAGTTCTCAATAATTGTAATCGAGTATGAGTTTTTACTGTGATCATGTGATTCTTGTCGTCCCCATAAGGAACATTTACCATGTGTCACTGAAGTGTGCATTCATATAGTGCTGTGTCCTTCTTGTTTGTGTTTTTGAAGTTTATTTTTGTTACACAGTAATATTGCCTCAGCGTTGGTCTATGGTTTGTACTCAGAGAGCAACATATTTGTGCTATGTGCTGTTGAAAGTGCAGAATAAAAACTGTTTTATACTGGCTGAAATGTCTTTATGTGTTCCGTGCCTGAGCAGCTGTAGTCATCCAGATTCTGTTGTGTTGCATTTGTTTTAATCCAGTCCTAGTCTTTGTATGCTTGTATGTTACGAGCCATGAATTGTACTTGAACCTACCATCACTTGGAAGAAATCCGACTTAACGTGAACGCCGCACCGTCGCTCGTGTTGCGTCATCACCGTGCGACTGTTTACAGTGAGCATGGCACGCCGCCTCGGCCGCAGCAGTGTCGGTGTGTAGCTGTGGTCGGGTCTCACCGGTGCTCCTGGAACCTGGGGAGGAGGATGAGCATGGATGTGACCTTCCTCGGGACCGGCTCGGCCTACCCGTCCCCTCACCGCGGGGCCTCGGCCCTGGTGCTGCGGACGGAGGGCCAGTGCTGGCTGTTTGACTGCGGGGAGGGAACCCAGACACAGCTGATGAAGAGCCAACTCAGAGCCGGTGAGTCGCTGCAGCCTTTAAAGCTATTGAAGCTCAGTCTTGAATAAACCGTTTATTCAAATGTGCCCGCCACTCAAATTGCTCTCTTTCCACACACACACACGCACACACACACACAACCACACACGGCACACCACACACACAGGAGAGGAGTAAGATATTAGGAGGAATTTTCAGGATTTATTGACAGAACTGGAGTGCATTTCAGTAGCGCGTGGGGGCACATAGTTTACTTTTTACTCATTGGCGGAAGAATGAAAAGTTTCTTGGGTGCTATGACTTGGGGACCTTCAGGAGGGTGGGGGACCAAGATATTCAGAACAGAAATACTCTGTTAGAAGGAGAAGAAGTATAAAGGTAGTAGCGTCAAAATATACTTTAATAAGAACAAAAAGTAAATGTGCTTATTATGCAGGCTGGAGGCAGCTGTTTTTTTTTTTAGTATACTGGGTAGCTTATTCTTATCTATAATATTCATACATCATCATTTCTTTGTTGATTAAACATATGTATAAATAATCTGACGTGAAATAAAATGGAGTAGAAGGATAAAGTAGCAGAAAATGGGGAATAATGTATCCACCACTGCTTGAACATGACTTTTTTCATCTCAGGCAAGTGAGTTCAAGTTTGAGAGACAGTTTAATGCCTTATCATAACTCTGGCACAGTCTAGACTCTAGAAGATTAAAGACAGTCAATTAATCACTGATGTGAAAACTACAAGACATGCTAGCCTTCTTTATTTCCTGCATTTTAATCCAGTATTACTACTTCCAGCCTAATTTACTTCCATGATGTGTCATCTATGATTATTTCAATAACCTGCTCTCTGCACATTCCCACTGTAGCACCTGTAATATGATATAATATGTTGTGTTTTCTAACCAGGTCGCATCACCAAGGTTTTCATCTCTCACTTGCATGGAGATCACCTGTTTGGTCTGCCTGGTCTCCTGTGCACTGTGAGCCTCAACACCAACCCGGACCCCCAGCAGAGCCTCAATCGCGTGGACATCTACGGGCCCCGGGGCCTCCGGCAATTTCTAAGGGTGACACTTGGCCTCACAGGCTCACAGCTGCTCTTCCCTTATGCAGGCAGGTCCAAAATGTATCCATAATGTGTCCACACTGATGCAGTCTTAACACTGGTAATAGTTTGCCAAGCAGCAGAGAAGACCCTCCCTGTGTTTATGTATGTCTTGAACACCCAGAATGAAAAGCTTTATTCAGTTCATACAACAGCAAATCAACGTTTCACCATTCAGTACTAAACCACAGCTATGCTACAGCTATCATGTTTTTATAGATATATGTGGATATATATGTATGTGTGTATATACGAAAACTACAACACTTTTCAGCCCTCTTTATTTGCTGTTATTTACAAAGCAAATGAAGAAGTTACTACTTTTAGTCTAATAATTTACACATTTTTTTTTTATTGTACTTCATTCTAATGTACTCTAATGTCATCTGTATTATGTATGTGGCTGCAGTACATGAGCTGGAGCCTACAACTGACCAGAGTCCAGAAGAGGGACAGCTCAGTCTGGAGGTATGTGATTGATTTTAGTGGTATTGCTGTGTGGTGATAAATCACACCTTATCTCTCTGTATAGTGCAAAGGGTTAGGGTTAGGGTTGCAATCATTTCTGTGAGGTCAGTGTATGTTGTTTACTTTATTTGCATCATTTATACAATGTTAATGTGTATATCTTCTATGTCCAAATGTTGTATTTTTAAGTTTCATGTAATCTTCAGTGTTTTGCTCTGCGCCTCCTCAGATGACAGCTGAGTGCGGCCCTCTGCACCCACAGGAGCAGCCGGGCAGGACCATCTCCCTGGATGTCTCCAGTGACTCTTACCTCCTCTTCGAAGACAAGAGGTTTGTGGTCAAGGCCTTCAGGTTGTTTCACCGAATCCCCTCATTTGGCTTTTGCATTCAGGAGCATGATCGACCCGGAAGACTGAAGACTGAACTTCTGAAAGAACTAGGTAAAAGGTCTTTTTATATATATATTTTATTTCTGTATTTCTTAATTTAGACGCTTGGACAGAAATGTGAAGAGAGAAGATAAAGTAATTGTAGATGATTGCACAGCTAAGGGTATAGAGTTTCTAATTGGACATAGTAAGCATAAAAGTGCAACATGTTTTATTAAGACAACAATGCTGTTTGCAGGATATGATGTGAGGGTAGATTGGCAGGTAAAAAATAGTTGATGGTTGGAATTTTACCCTTGAAAGCACTAAAAATACACAAAGTGAAAAACAAAAGAGCGTTACATACAAATGAAAGAAAAAAACAAGTTTGTGCATTTTTGGCATAATGTAGTAATTGTAATATATAATAATAATTTTATATATATATAAATAACAGCAAATTAAGATTTTACGCACAAGACTTAAGCCAATTGTTTTAAATTTAAACTACAACCCCTCACATATTAATACATCAATAATAATGTAATAGTGTAACGCTGACAGTAGCCACTCTGCATTTTTAGTACTTTTCAGTACTTTTACTACTTTAAGTATATTTCATTGCCAATATTTATGTACTTTCACAGTTAAATGTTGAAGGCAGTAGTATTTCTAAACTGTGTTATTGCTACTTTTACTTAGAAAATGTCTTCCAAATGAAACCTGTGGACTATTGTAAATGGTGTAGTTTTATGTCCCCCCCAGGCTTGAAACCAGGGCCGCTTTATGGACAGCTGAAAGCTGGAGAGCCTGTAACTGTGGTGGAGAGTGGACGAGTCGTTCTGCCTAGTGAGGTACTGGAAGAAGCCATTCCTGGAAGGAAAGTCTGCATCTTCGGGGACTGCAGCTCAGTTCTCGGGGAAGGACCACTGAGGTTGTGCAATGGAGCAGACATGTTGGTTCACGAGGCCACCCTCGCGAACGAGCACCGAGAGAAAGCCGTGGACCACGGACACAGCACACCTGAAATGGCGGCGGCAGTGGCTCGGGCTTGCTGTGCGCGGAGGCTGGTGCTGTACCACTTCAGTCAGAGGTACAAGCCCTGCTCCCTGCAGAAGGAAGGGGACGAGGATGAGGTGTCAGAGCTCAAGAGGCAGGCTGAAGATGCGCTACAGGACAGTGGTGTAGAAGTGACTCTGGCTGAGGACTTTCTGACTCTGCCCATTCCTCTCAGAAGATGAAGGTAGCGAATGATTTAGCTTTTATATTGCCTGTAGTAGATCAGATGTAAAAACAGAGCAGCCATCTGTTTGTATATGGTGTAAATTTAACCTTTACATGTTAAAAAGTATTTAGTCTCAGCAGTTGTTAGCTTCATACTTGACTGTCTTCATCAGCATATGGATCAAATTTCTCCATGATTCCAAACACTTTTATGACTTCTCAGCCACATTTGCTTTTAAGTTAAGCTTCAACATTCATTCTTGACCGGCAGCTGACAAGGTCCACTTACATGCTGGCTTCCACTCATATCGCACGGCCTTCATCAGCAGGTCAACTTTTTCAACTTTTATGCAAACATGCCTAAATTCAGAAATACTTTATTGATCCCCGGGGGGGAATTTGTTGACAACGGGATCAACTGTAACAGGCAGCGTGCACTCTCCTAAATGGTAATTTATGGAAATTGGAAATGTTTGCACTTCTACCTACGATTATGTAACAACTGAGCAAACTCCTGCTGCTGATGAAGACCATGTATTATGTTTAAAAACTCCAGAACAAGCAAATAAGTGACCTTGAGCTGAGATTATATATTTTTTCTCCATGTGCCGTTTCCAAAGTCAAGAATATAATTTTCAAGCTACATGACAAGTGAAGTCTTTTAATCATTAGACCATGATGCATTAAGTAGTTATTCACATTCCATTAAAAAAGGACAGAATTTGAATCTAATTTTAGTAGAAACCCTCCCAACGAAATTGTATGAATAATCACATCATAGGTTTCAGTCTTACTGGTGTTTTCTTTCAGTTTGTGATATTAACACTGTACTAAAACCCACAATGTTTCTATATGAATAAGTGAATTTAGAGGTTCTGTGTGAAGGTAAAGAAACATGCAGTCATCTCTGAACCTTTTCCAGAGCTTTATTTCTGGATCTGTACACAAGGTATTAAAGTACAACAGAAAATACAAAATAATGTTTAACAAAAGAAAAAAAAAAACTCAAATGTTTATGTACAATTCTTATAAACAATAAAGATAGCTTCTTGAACATTTCTCATAGTGAAGGTTTTGATTGTCTATATTTCTGGATATACATTTTTAAGTTTTGTAGGTTTTTATTCACAAAGGTGTTTTTGTTTTCGTCAAAGGACTCGAGTTTTCTTTTTCAAAACCACAACTGCTATAATTGTTTTCCTTTTTAAACTTCAAAACACAATACAAAATATAAAATAAATTTGTTTAGTGCTTTCTTGCACACACAAGTCTCATACCAGAGATATCAATAAAATATCACATTTTCGAGAGTTCACAGGGTGGTGAAAAACCTACTTCTACTACTTAATGGCCTTTACATTCTGACAGTTTTTCTGAGTCTTTGTACAAACCACAGGTGAAATAAATATCACTGCACTGCTAAAGCTAGAAGAGCTTGGAGGACCTACTGCATTATGCACATTGCATTAAAAGAGAAAACTAGCTCTCCACACACTTAGAGCAGCAGCCATCCCTTTACCATCAAGACAAATATAGACGACATGTAAAAAGAGTTTTTTCGAGGAAAGAAAGATGAGCGTCTTTTACACATGGCTGCAAGTTTTGAATAAAAATTTGCAACACTGAGTAATATCAATACGTCTTCGGGTAAAGCCGTTTTCAGTGGTACACTTGAGAAACAGACACAGCTGGCATGCGTGGTTTCAGCTGGGTCCTGGGGGGTTTGGGTATCATGACTTTCCAAAGAGAGAGAAAAGAAAATTCAAACACCAAGTCAACCGGTAAAATGCAAAACCAAAATATCTGTACATATCTACAAATTATTGCCTTTTGACAAGGAATCAAATTAAAACCTTTGTATTAACACAGATTCACAAGTGTAAGAGGTCAGTTAATAGACTTTTTAAAGGCTATTTGCTAATTATTTACATGAAATGCAGAAGTGAATACCTTTTCAGATGCTGGGCTTGGAAACTGAATTACTGGATGATAAAACTTAATGATGGTTTATAGGCATGAATCCTGTCTGTACACACACATAATGGTGAATTACAAGCTCTATGAACATGACAAACGTGATGTACCCCTGAAACAAACTAATCATCATAGCACAATGCATAGATAAATTAAGTAAACACTACTACTGCATCCAATCAACTGACGATGACCTGCTAAATATTTTACAATTCACAATTATGGACTTCAGTCAAGAGAAAATGGCTCCATTTCTGCTACTACACTCAAAGAAATCCGTGACCAGATTTCCCAAGGTCTTCTGTAGTCAGTACAGGTTAGGCAAAACAGAAACCGAGTGGCTTTAAATAAAGTGATAATACTGCTAGCAGGTTTACCCAAGCTTGCTAAGTGGTCTGAAAATGGCGTCACTTAATTTAGGAGCATATTCTAACATGATTTTTTTTTTTTTACTACAACTAACAAACAGACGTATACAGCCAAGCTTGCCTAATAGAAGCATGAGTTCAAAAGGATTAAACAAAATCTCACAAAGATTAAAGTAAATGCAATAAATACAAACTTAACAGTGCTTGATGATGTCTATGTTTAAGTGACTATTAACCCAACCAATATCTTTGCATTGCAATATTGCTGTTATGGTTTTCTTCTCTGACTGATACCCTCCTAGAAAGAAGCAGGCTTTAAACAAAAATTGCAATATCCAGCTGGAAAACCAGGAGACACCCATTATTTACTCTACAAAAGGTATTTTTTTGTCACCCATTTTAAAAATGTAATAGAAAAACTATGAATCTGGTACTATAATTTGGGTTTGACTAAATTATATTATTATTGGATAAATTAAAAAATATATGTTGCAAACATTTGCATGTTCCAGTTTGGCAACTTTGAACAGTTTTAAAGTAAACAAGCAGAGATCCAACTACGGACAAGCTTCCACAGGAGAACAGAATAAGAAAAGAAAACCAAACTGAAAAGCTTTAGCAGCTGAAGCCACGACACTTCCTGATGTCCAAGCTAATCTCCACGCTAGTGTTGCTCTTCATACAATGTCTAGCCAGGTTTATTTGGGTGCAAATAAAACCATTTGCACCAGCCTGGTTGCTAAAAAAAAGTACCTGTAAACCAAACACTAATTTTTTTTTAAAAAGTACCACTTCAAACAACAAGACAAGCAACTAAATACCAACACTACAGGCAGAAAACCAAGCCATTTTTTGGCAACTGGAAAGAATGGCAGGATAACGTATTGTAGCTCTGAAGATGTGTGTAGATCTGAGGGAGGAAGATACACAACTCTCCTACTGCAGCCTCTGGGCCCCACTGTACATGGACGTTACACATCTCAAGACCGCAAAACAAAAATAAAATAAATGGCTATATAAACTCTTGAGAGAAATCAAGATTTTAGTTCTATATGATAGACATCACTGATGTCATATTACACAAAAAATGAAAACAAAAAAGTATATTCATATACATATATATAGATATATATATATATATATATAATAGAATTTAAACAAATCAAATTCTCCAGTGAGGTCAGTCTTATGTACAAGCGGGTTAAGGGGTTTCAAAAGGGAAGGGAAGAAGACGAAGAAGATCACTCTGACTGAAGTGCCGCAGTGTGCTGTGTGTGGTGCCGTGCATGTGCTCCCAGAAACCCGTTGGGCTCGCCGCTGCCTGCCAAGCTCCCAAAGTCTGTGACAGACACTGCCATTTTGGCGCCGGTGATTCGGTGGTGGTGCGCCGCTGTCCGTCGTGCTTCGAAGTCCACGCCAAGGTTACCCACAGACACGTCATTGATAAAGGAGTCAGGCAGGGCCATCTTGAGTCTCTTGGAGGGCCGCTCGCAGTCCTTGTTGACACACACTCCTCCTAGCTGGCCCAGGTCAGAGTGGTAGAAGCCGGCGTCCAGCATGTTGAGGCAGTCGGGGTCCGCACCATTTGAAGGGAACCCGAGGGATTCGTCGTGGTTTAGGGACCCGCGATGGAGACTTTCCAGCTGAGAGAGGCTGTAGGAGTCCAGGCAACTAACCTCCGCAGGGCTGCACACTGTGGCTACACTGTTACTCAACGGCTGCACAGGAGACAAGACACTCAATTAACACTGAATGACTGGAAGCAATAAGAGACTGAGGTCAAGAAACACGCTGCTTAAGGAGGGACACTCCTATATTACCTAAAGAGGAAAACACAATAGTTGTTTTTAATGTTATCAAGCATTTCTTATTCCGAAGTTTCTTCCATAACTCCAGAACGAAGTCCCGTTACTGACCTGTGAGTTGGCTGGCAGTGATGGAGTTGAGCAGG